GCGGGGTGCCCTGCAAGGCACTTTGTATCGACGCCAGATACTGTAAAGCCTCCAAGCCTTCGGCAATTTGCGGCGTGTCGAGGGCTCGAGGTGATGAATTCCTGACAAAGCATCTCCAGTAAGGTGGAGAGGTGAACCGTCTGAAAACTCTTCCTGTATCCAGTCAGCAATGGCTTCATCCAAGCTGACTTCAGTCATAACATCATCCAAGATTGGCAGCATACGAGCAACGGCCGTGTAATAGCGCTCCAAGGTTGCTGCCGTAATGCCAACCTCTTCCAAGACAATGGCCTCTCTGGCACGGCGGCGATCCAGCCGAGAGGCTTGTCCTGGCCATCCACTAGGAACGACTGGCATCGTCGTGGGATTTTCGCTGCTCTCGACGTGCACAATCACGAGGTACACATCCCAGGCCAGCAAGGTAGCCGCCAGTCTGGCCAACAGCGGCTTCAACATGCGGGAGGCCCATCGCCCCTTTGACGCGCTATGCTCATGCAAACATAAGAATCTGTAAGGTGGAAGATTCTCATGCCTGCAAAATTGCCCGTAATTCAAGGGAGTTGATGTGATCATTCTTGGTCCATTTAGAAGCGAAAACCTTTTTCCATTCCCACCAGAAAGAACAACAACTCTGACGTGGAAATGCTTTTGGATTCAGAACAGTGCCAGATGTATCCTAACATCTGAGCCCGTGTGGCTTACCCTACAAAGTAATGAGCCATGGATTGCGGACACTGGCAAGTCACGTGAGGTGTTCCCGTAGCATAGTTTCCTTTGTAGAGGGGCTTCCACTTGCAAGGGGCTGCAAAACCCTGGTGCCATACCCATACGAACCCACACTTTATGGCAGTGGTTAAGAACAACCCAGCTCTTGCACAACATAGCAGCCACAAAAGCAAAAGAACAACACAGACTTGTATGGTCATACCCCAAACCATGAAGGAGTTCCCGCTCTGACGCAGATGCTAAGCGCCACTTGTTTTGTACCCAAAAGATGAATCGCTGATCCTACTGGTACAGAGGGAACCTGTATTCATCCGCCTCCCAGCGCAACCGACCATCATCATCTATCCTGTCCAGGCCTGCCGGCCGGATTGGAGGGCGGCTGCGCCTAATGGCTTTCATGCATGTGGGCAGCACTGCATTTTCAGCATACCCTGGCCAAACAGCATCTGGCTCCATCCATTGGCACTAATTCAGGATACTCGTGGCGCAGTCGTCCTTTTCCCTGACTTCAGCTCCATCCATAGGTTCCAGATCGTCCTTGGATCCTCTGTACGATATGGGGGGGGGTCTTACTCACCATTTTATAGGTATAAAATGGGGGTTCCGACCCCCAGTTGCATATAATTCAATGTGTACCAACATCCAAAAATAAATAAATTAAGGAGGGGTGGACCCCCTCTTGTGGCATCTGTTTCGAAGGTATGTCCACTACAAATTGACATATGTATGTAACTGTGAACCCATCATTGACATACAAATTGGATCAAATTGGACCACCTCAGCCAAAACATGCACTCTCAGGAGGTTGGAACACTACATTTTATAAAGACCTTTTACATCCTTTTACCAACGTGACAAACCAAATCAATACAAACCACGCACCACAAGTATCCAAAAGGATTCCCAAAGGCCAGTATCCAGATGTAACTTGATTGCTTGATCATGCTTGATCAATCCTTTGATCAAACCCTATCAATTGTATTGAATGCCTGACCTGCTCTGGCAAAGAAAAACAATGTCAAACTTTTAGGATGTTTGAAGAATCCCACGGGTGCGAGTGAGATGCTGAGTCTTGGACAGGTGCAGGGGGTGGCAGCGGGGCTGCTGCCGCCTCAACATCAGCCCATGAAACAACACGGGTTAAGATGAATTCATGATAATCCATGTAAGCCCTGCGGCATCCAAAATCCATGAAAAACCCTGCCTAATAAACACAAATAAGTCAGTACATCATTTTAATAAAAGTATGTTTGGATCATATTGAGACTTTACTATCTATCCAAGGCATTCAAATGGGAGTTAAATCATATTACATCATGATAGATCAATGCATCTGTACAAATGCCTTCATATAAAATGACAAGTACAGTCCCTCACAACATCTATGTAACTGCATGTAACTGCGAACCCATCATTGACATACAAATTGGACTACCTCAGCCAAGAACATGCACTCTCAGGAGGTTGGAACACCACATTTTGTAGAGACCTCTTATGTGTGTGTTCACTGTGTTTGCAATCAAAACCATTCAAAATTAATCAAAATTGATAACCTCTTGATGCTAGCCCACTGGTATCCGCAGGTTGGCTATCTATGGTTATCTTATGTTATTTTCAATAACTCCAAGCCAGTCAAATCCATCAGATCTGAGTGTTACACCATCGGCTGGTGATCCAGCCCAGGGATCCAATCAATCACTTTATTCTTCAATCCTGCGAGCTTCCCCAGAAAATCTTGCGAGCCCCCTCCAAAAAAAACAAAAACAAACATATCTGAACAACATCCACCCACGAAATGAATTTAATCTGTCCTTCTTCCAATGCTATGCGCTTCCACTCCGAAGCTTCAGGTGGTACCGCAATGCCCTTCTTCTCGGCAAAGCCTGTCGGGCAGTTTCAATGGATAACAATGGATGACAATGGATGACGCATCATATAAAAACACATAGTATCCATGGACAACCCGTGCCTTCAGCACTCTTGTGCGTCCGAAACTTCTCCGTCTTGCCAGTTTCCTGATTGAAGAAATACCAGTAGACGTCACCCACATTTTCGTCTACCAAGCGAGTCTTGTACTCAATCTTCCACATGGCTGCGTCAGGTTGGAGGGAAATGTCCGATGGTGAAGCTGTGACAAAAATCAAAATAATGCCATAGTTTGGGTTTATCAAAACACATTGACCGTATTGTCCTATCAGCTATCTTTTATTCAAACATCTTGACTTGGATCCGGAGGCTGAAACACATGACTCGAGCCATACCGACAGTGGCCGGCGTGTTTTTCTGGCAGCCCTGCCCCCTCCCCCTCAATCCATCATCTCCAGAAAGGACAACTGCCTGAAGCACCCAGCGCATCAGACGTGTCATGACGTGTCTATCGTTAAACATACTCTGTTTTTGGTACGGCAGAAAACGGTTCAGCTCAAACGATGAAAGACATCTGGGTCTGAAAAACAAATGAAGTCAAAAATAATTCAAATCTATAGTGTCTTTCGCACCTTGGAGTTCCCCGGTTGCTGGAAACAAACCATAGCACATCAACGAATACCTGGTTTTAAAACAAAACTGACTTAAAATATATCCTCTATATAAAATGATGTGCATTGAGGTCACTCTTAGGGGGCATGTGAGCACAAAAAACCACTATAAAATGACCTCACTATAAAATGAGGGGCCTCCACCCCAAACCTGTACCCTAGATAAATCGTTTTATATTGAACCTGGTGCCTTTCATTTTATTCTAGGGTATTGTACCATGGATGTCCTTGGTCCAGCAAAACCAAGGCCTATGTATACGCACGGCATCAGTTGGGTCGAGACGCCACGGCTTAGTGCCCAGCGCCTCAATGATTTCCTGTTCAGCCTCTGCGTCCATGCTGGCTACATTTTCCGCCACATACTTCACCTTAAAGGTGAAGCCATAAACCTGCCGGACCGACTTGATTCAGCCGGCTCCTCACCAACTACTCTGCATGGCACAGAAGTTGTCGAGATATACATGGTACCAGGCACGGCCAGGCGCCACAGCCTCTTCGCAAGTGCTAGTCAGCCATGAGGGCAGCGCCGCCCTACGCCGCACCCGATGGGACAGGGGAAGTCTGGCAATTGTAGTGAGACGTTCAGCTATCTGTTGCATGACAGATACAGCACTGCTCCACACCATGTTGTAATGCAAAATCTTCCCCCTTGAAAGCAATTATTGCTAAAAGCCATCATCTTGGAACAGCAGACTGGGATCTTAAACAAGTAAAACGCAGATGTCATGTCGCTTTGAAAGTACACCAGACGGTCACTTCGATCCAAAACCAGCCCAAAATATTGAGTAATAGAAGGAAGATCAGCAGTGCCCCCTTGTGAGTGCTTGAAGCAGGCATTATTGGGAATGAGATTCATGATCAGCCGTTGAACTTCATCACCACCTTCCAAAAATGTCCCCTGTCCAACTGCAAACATTCCACTCAGAACTTTCTGACCCTGCACAGTAAGTACCTCATCATCGGGGATCCATGAACAAATGTTTCGTTGAACCAGCAATTGACATAATGCCAGGGCCTCATCATTCTCGACATGTACCTTCGCCTGAAGCCTGACCCCATCCACTGGAACATCCAAAAGGCTTTCCTCAGGGTGATCAAGAAACCATCGACGAGTTCCCTCACAAACCAGATCTCCAGCATCGAACCACCATGCAATTCCTGTGTAAGGCCAGAAGGACTTGCTTGACCCTAATGATCCGCATCTTTGGGACCTCTTCTCCGGTATAGGTCAGGTAGCGCAAAGACAATTCTTTTTCAGCTTGCGAGCTAAGTTCGGACCTCCTGGCGGGGCCCTACGGACACATTGCCGCACAGCCTGCAGGGCTGTCAGCTGCGCAGCAGACGGCTTTCTCTGCAATGACGCACGGCCATAGCCAGCACACGCATTGATTGCATGCCAGGATGCTCAAGGCCGTCCAAATGTCCTCATCTGCAATATCCGCAAAATGCGGTTGGCAGAAACTTTCCACAGGGGTCATCGCGACCAAATCATAAAGTTGTGAAACCTCCTGTAAGGGCAGCGGCAAAAGAGGCCGGTTCCGTGTGGTCCAGTTTCGGTGCATGGCAGAGAAGGGCTTGCTTTGCCCATGAGAGTGGCCCTCAACACAGCCGAAACCTCCGTCCCCTGCTCTAGCTTGGGAAACCGTAAAAACATTTTATAGGAGGGCCCGACCAGTCATGCCAAAATCCTGACCGTATTGGGCCACAAGCTCCAAAAACTCATGAAGTCTCCTCAGGCTAGACGGCAACGGCCCGGTTTCCACCAGCGATGCCACCAGTCCCAGCTCCAATCGAATTCAGTGCCTCCGACTCACAGGAAGCGGCCACCTCACGCCTGGGCTTTGCCAGCGGTGTTGACCATCCACCTTGTTGCAGGAATTAATTATTGGATGCTGTCTCGTGAGATTCCTTCCAAGGATTCTCTTCTCCCTTCTTTGATGCTCCTGGGTCCTTCCCAGCACCACGGCCTTTTCCCTTTCCTCGTCCTTTGGGGTCGCCCTTGCGCCCTTTTTCGGTCCAGGGGGCGCCCTTGCCTTTGCCGGCGCCTCCCTCTCCCCAGCGCGAGGGGTACATCCCTTGACTCTTCTGGACCAAGCGCCGATGCTTCTGTGCTTGGAGCATGATTCATGGTGCCTGTGGAGGCCGCCTGGACTGGTTCCAGCGGGTACGTCTCCAATTGGGCTGCGGTGCCCCAACCGTCTTCGGCCAAATGAACTGCGATGGCTGCCTCGGGAAGCTTGCCTGCTCTGAGCAGGTCTATCGTTTGCCCTAAGGCATACAGCTCCCTGATCACGGCATTCGACGCTGGGTATAGAACGGTCTTATGAGAAGGGCGAAGAACGTGGAGATCTCCACCCCCAAAGTGATCCCTGCAGAATAAGCTCCTTCTGTTTCCAACAAGGTGCCCTTGTCCAGCTGGTCTTGGGCATGTTTGACCAACATGGCCATGACCGAGCCCGGTTCTTTGGCTGCTCTGCGCCGTAGAGGAGGTTCGATGCTCAGCTCGCTGTCCTCGTCGCTGGAGTCTTGATGCCGGCGCTTCCTTGATCTGCTTGAGCTTCCGAAGCTCCTGAGGAACCACTGGAGTCTGATCTGCCTGAATCGTCTGGATCCGGCTTGACTCCGAGCCTCCAAGAAGGTCCATCCTGATCGCGATCTGACTTGCGATCTCTCTTCTTCTTCTTCTTCCTTTTCTTCTTGCCCTGCAAAAGGTCGAGCAGGGCCTTCACTCCGTCGTTCTTTCCCTTGTCCTTCTTGTCCTTGCGCCGCTTGCTGGCTTGTTGATTTGTCTGCACGCCGCACGCCTTGAGCCAGCAAACGAGAGGCGGCATCGGATCGTCAAGTTCTTCTCCCCGGCGTCTCTTGTACCCGCCAATGGCGCCAATGGCGCCAATGCCAGCGGGGTGGACTGGTCAGGAGACAGAGAGGTCCCAGCCACCAGCCGGGCGGGAGGAGACCCTCTAACCCACGAGTCGCACCGGCGTCGCGCTCCAAGGGGGGTGGTCGACCCTATGATTCTCTCCCGGGTCTCCCTGAGCTTGTCGCGCAGAGCTGCTCTGTCGGGACCAGTAGCATCTGCCTCGCCATCCAGCTCTTCGCCATCCGAGGGGACACCCGCTCTCCAGCAGCGGCTGGGCGCTTTCGCTTGGAAGGCACCTTGGCTGGCGCCCTTGAGCGCTTGGGAGCTGCCGCAGCACGCCGGCCATCTGAAGGGGGCTTGACAGCGTCGGATGGCCTTCTTGAGGGCGGCCTTCCCACTCCGACTCAAGTAGTCGGCCGCGAACTTCTGGAGTGCCCAGGACCTCACGCGAGTGGCATGAATCCCTATAGTTCCATCGAAGGCCAATGGACAGGGATCCTCGGGGCACAGATGCACTCCCCCAGCCACCATGCCATCGAGTGCCTCCTTTAGTAGGCCATCTGACTCGGCCCCAATCACCTCTCCAATGACAGTGATACCTGGCCGTTCCAATACCGGGCGCTCTTTCACCAGGACGGCAAACCACTCTTCCCTGAGAATGGTGAGAGAACTTCCGACGGAAAATTGTCCCCAAAAAATCCTTCCACTACCCCCTAACTTCCTCCAACGCATATCAGTCAAGTCGTTCCATTTACCGCTCTTGAGCCGACGGGTCTTCTTCATTCCTGGCGAATGTTTTGCCGATTTTCGTTTCATGCTTTCTAACATGCACTAAGCTGCTTTGGATCGAGGTGAACAAGGAACATCATTAGCAAGTTGGTTTCAGTTGTCTTTGTCAAAAACTGATCTCACAGTTTCAAGTTTCAAGGACATGCCTATACTATACTTTCTACACCAACGCATTCTCTGAGCTTTAAGCAAGCTATGCAACAGGAAGCAGTTATCAGCAAAATTATGAAGCACATGCCTTTGCCAAATTGCACGCAGATACATCACAACCTGCGCTGCTTTAATAAACGCATATGTACCGACCGTGTCACATCAAAAAACAAAAAACGCATGTAGACTCATGTAGAACCTGCACTGCACCAAGCGTACCACCACCGCGCCTACAACGCGTACGACATGTAGCAAACCAAGAGTGCCAAATGTACCAAGCAAACCAACGAACAGCTCCGACACCAAACGTAATTATACTGTACCTACTGTGCTTATCAAGCTTAACGACCGCACCTATCAAAGCGCACGAAACCTACCAACGGCACCTTACCAAGCTTACCAAGCGTGACAAACATACACCGCATCAACCGCACCGTCGTCCCAAACATACCCAAGCGTACCAAATGTACCGTACCAACCGTACCAACCGTACCCACCGTACCAACCGTACCAACCGTACCAACCGTACCAAACAACCACACCAAACAACCGTACAAACCAACCGTACCCACCGTACCAACCGTACCAACCAACCGCACCAACCGTACCAACCAACCGTACCAACCGTACCAACCGTACCAACCGTACCAAACAACCGTACAAACCGTACCAACCAACCATACCAACGGTACTTACCAGGGAAAACACTTGTACCAACTGTACCGTACCATATATTCTTGAAATCTCCCTAAGCCCTCTAGCAGCTAGCACTTAAGTAACTAACACTCCTGGATGAAGAAGTCTTGATAACATTAGCAAGGTCATCCACGTGAGGCGACCGTTTGCCTTTAAACTGATCCCCAAATGAGCAAAACCTCGGGGTGTTGTGCTGTGTCTAACTTTCAACCTCGGGCCCATGCGGCTAGAACATGTTATAACGGCGTAAAATGGTCACTCACTGACTCACAAACTAAGTCTGCAGACATGAATATACTGCACTGCGGCCAAATAGATAGCATTCACAAGATCCATCATTTTAGCATTCACCCATCTTCTGCTAGGGGTCACTACCAACCACGTCCACGGATGTTTTTGAGTACGCATGGACATTTCTGGGCGGCCGCCATCCAAATAGTAAGTAATAGTACGTATAGTAACTATCATTCTTACTGTTTCGTACATGTTCGGACGTTGATCCAATTTCAAACTCTTGGGCAACGCCCAATATTTTTTGTTGACATTTGATCCAAGTTTGACCTAGTGAAATTGCTGACATTGGGCTGAATTTTGGACCACCCCTAATATGTCTTCCGTATTTTTCCAAGGTCTTAAAAATGTTCCGAACGCTTACTCTCCGGAGATCTAACATAGCTATTGAACATGGCTGCTTGGTCCGTTGATTTACCTATGGAAAAAATGGTGATTTTCCACTTCGCAATGTGAATTTAAGAGAGGATAAATACCAGTATATCTCATCATACTCCCATGCTGTTCCTTTCAAAGCCTACTAAAACCCATGACATTCCCACTAGATCCATAGATCCATCCAGATCCATCTGGATATCCCAGGCACGTCTGCGAAGCGGTCGACGGCCTCGCAGCTCTGAGATCGCCGTTGCGGGAACCAAGAGCTGCTAGGAACCACCTCCAGGAAGGTGTTTCGGCACCTGAAAGGCCCAGCTAGGAATATCTGAGATGAGAATTTCATAGAATTTCTAGACTCAACTGAGCATTTTCCGCAGGGAAATCGCAATTTGCGGAGCTGCATAAAATTGCATGTGCATGCAAACACTATAGACCTCATGTCAGCAACAAATCAAGGGTTTTGAAAATACACCATGCCTGTGGGACGAGAAGGGCCTATAGGAAGGGTTGTTGAAGGATACAATATGATAGGAGTTTTGGATTGATTAAATGACGGAACGAAGAAATGGTTAAATGGCTGAATCTGCCGCAGAAAAACGTAATGGCAAAATGATAAACCGGGCAAATGTTGCTTTGACCTAGATCTTCACTCAAATACCTTCTCTGAGCTACCCCTCACCTTGTCTCAATACCTCTATTGGCGCTACATTTCTCCATAAGAACCATAAGCACCTCAGTCGGGAGCTACCTCATCTGCTCTATCATGTTTCCACCTCTTTCTTCTTTGGGTTTTCCCTTACGTTTTGGGTTTGCTCTTTTCTGAGCTGTCGCTCTCGCCCCAGCCGTCTCTTCCTTCACCACCATCTTCTCTGGGCGCTTTCTTCGCCGAACACCTGTTCTTTGCATGGTTTCTCTTCTTTCAGCTACTCCCTCTCCGTCGGAGCTATCTTCACCCTCGAGACTTTCTCTGAGACCCCACTTCTTCGAGCTAGCTCTGCTCTGCTGTCCTTAGTTGCATCTCCTTTGAGCTACCGCTTCTTTGAGCTCTTCGTCTTGTCTTTGATCTCCGCTTTGCACGCAATTGCTCGGCAGCAATGAATTGGCGCAATCTTGGCCAGCCATATCAATACGATCCAGCCATTCTCATGCGCTTGGCTTTAGGGCCCAAAGAATGCTTACCATAGCTATTACATGTGTTTTAGCAACCTCTCAGCAACCGACCAAAAATGTTGAGCGGCAGTGGCAGCAAAGAAATTTTTTGGGAGACTCCAAGCATGGCACAGGAACAAAAGGCAACAGCGCACAGAACAACAGCCGCAGCGATACGTTTACATTTACATCCTGTGATGCTCGAACAGCGAGCGCTGGCATGGGCTCTTCATGTGCTGTGGCTCATGTGCGAGGTGCAGATTTTATTGTGATATGTTTGGGGCAACATGTGGTCCTGCATACATGGTGGCATGAGCTGGCTGAAATGAACACGCGAATTTTTCGTCGTTAGGGCGCAAAACGATGAGGTCAGGTGGCTCACCTCGTGGCCCGACATCACTGCGCAATCGTGTTTTGACCACATGGTTCGCGCATTGCCTTGTTTTTACCCGGCCTGGGAGAGACACTTTCTCCCTGTAAATTACTGTAGCTGTAGCTTACATGAGCCGCAGGTGGCCTGCGAGACAAGTATAGTGACTATAGTGTTGCCTGTTGGTACCAGGGGCCCAAGCCTGACTGCACAGTGGAAGGTATACATTCGACAAATATGCAAAGCTACCAAACTAAGGTTGACCGGTTTACCCAGTTTGCCCCCCAACCTTTCAAACATAAAACCAAGACACTCCAAGCTGGACATGCTGAGAAGGTATGCGAAAACTTGCCTGTGAGCCCTTGGAAAATCGGCTGCGCAGCTGTGTCAATTCTAGATGTTCAACCTCAAGTTCTGATCAAAACTTGTCCTGCTGAAACTAGTTGGAGGCTGATCCCTTGAAAAATCTCTACGTTTGGAACCCCATCTGGAAATATTCAAACCTTGAAAAAAACTGGAACCGCGCCAAGCGGCTGATTGTTACGATTACATATCAGTGTTTTCCCTAGACCCGCCAAGCACCCATAAAACCAAATGAAGTCGTAATGACATGAAACATACATATATATACCTACTGAGTCATCTACCTACTTTTTTTTGGGGTAAGAAATCAATAGCTATCTATTTTCTGCCGGGATGAATAATAGATAACTATTTTTAGAAATAGATATCTAAATATGAATTTACCCACTTTTCTGATATTTGAATACTACATGCTTAGCAACCAATCATCTCCAGTGAGGTCATACCATTCCTCAGCCATCAATTGGTGGCCCAAAGATGTGCGCAAGGTAGAATGATTTGTGTTAAGATCAACTCAACTTGAATAAAATGATGATAGTAAAATCCCGTGATGTTCAAAAGGACCAATATAGCAAGGGGTTTGTGATCCCAAATAATTCTTCTGGTGTTCTGATTTTGGGCCCCTCACTTTACTCATCTTTACTCTTCTCGTACTGCTTCACCCATGCGGGTCTATGTGATGATCTACTTTGACCTGGACCCTGGTGCAGCAGCAGCTGGGGCCCCCATTTTCAACGGCTGGGCAGGATGTATGCCTGAGTGGATGTGAACTGGAGATAGCTGGAGGGAATTGGCAAACATAGAGTGTACATTTTTTAATCCTGGAAAAATATAACATGGTTGGTTTACATGGCTTGCAGTAAGCCATGCCAGATCTCATGAGCATACCATTATACTTGGATTATAATCCAACTCATGGTTTTAAATGCCATCTCATACAATATATGTCTCTACAGGTATTTGGGATCGATCTAGCAGCATCCGGTCCTAGTCTTGCCACCATGAATTGTCGTGGTTTGGCAGCGCAATGGGAGAAGTGTGATGAACTCCGAGAAAGGATCAGGTCTGAGAAAAGGGTGATGATCTATTCCCATACCGACACTTACTGCAAACCAAACCGTGTCAATGCAGTTCAGAATGCATGGGTCATGGAGCCAATACTGGGGCGGCTGGGGAAACACCCCAAACATACCCTTCCTCATTTAGAGGAGTTACAACGAGAGGTCAACATTCTTTTTGAGAAATGTGGGTTGGACAAGGGCAACAAAGCTCCATACAAGACAAGTGTGGAAATTAAAAAGCTGGCTGGCTTTGTGAAGCGCAGATCGCTTCGAAAAGAGGTCACAAAGGAGAGGGGTTGTTGAATATTATTTGGTACCAAATTCAATTGAATTTCACATATGAATCTACATAAGGGGTCATCCATGTTGTTACTGTCCGGGGTGCCATAATAGAACATATGGGGGCCTAGCCAATTATCACCATTAGCTGGACCTCTATGTTCAAGTCAGCCCTGAAAGGATGAGAATTTCCATGCTTTGATCTTGGCTTTCGACCCTGGCATGAAGGACGGGCAGGGTTGGGAGTCCAGCCCCAGCCTTAGAATTTCAAAATTTTGTGGATATGATAGTATGTTAATTATTTTTTGGGGGACTTATATAGCATCCCAAATATCTAAAGTCATCCATTTCCCTTTCAAGGGTTTCCACTGGCTCTACCCCTTATCTGTTCAGGAGGTGATTGAAGCCTACTTGGCAAGCTGTCGCCGGTCCAAGTCCAAGTCGTCAAAGGATGATTCGGAGAATGATGGTGATGAGAATGGGGATGATGAGAATGATCATGAGGATGATCTTAGCCGTCAGGAGTTTCAAGACTTCAAAGCATGGCTGGATTCACAGACTCCGGCTGCTGAACCCTCTCAATCTAGCGGAACCAAAGATGCACCAGTTGAGACTAAGAATGATCAGCCGAACCCATCAGTCTGCTTGAAGTGTGGAGTGGCAGACTGTCAGTGTGCCCTACCTGAAATATTCTGAAATCAGTCTTATTGTTTAATTATATTTATGTTGATCATATGTTGATGGAACATGTTCAATCTAAAATGGAATTGACATGATCAATGCTTGTTTTCCTAACCTTTCCACTGACCTCCCCCATAGAGAGGGCCCTTCTGCCTGCCAAGGTACTGAGCAAGTGAAGCAAATGCGTGCACAGGTTCTTCGGAGGTTGGCGGAGCTCAAGAAGCAGTCCATGGAGATGCTCTTCTCAGTTGTGCAGGGGTCGCTGGTGCAGAGGGCATACTAGGTAGGCCACTGGCAATTGATATGATCAGAGGATAACTATAAATATGATATACATGAACTAATCTTTCTGTTACCTATATACATTCGGAATCAGTTATCTTTTGATGAATCCCACATGGAATGCCACTGCAAGGGAAATCCCGTGGTGACTACTCAGGAACCCAAACTTCCGAATGAAAGTGCAAAAGTTTGTGATGGTGCCAAAGCCAGGTTGGTGGCTTTTCAAATGAACAACTGCCAGCCTGTTCGAATCTTTAGGGATTTCAGTTATGTGTCCCAGCTGTGTAACAAACCAATGATAGTCTAATGTAAATTCATGAAATCCATTCTGATTGACCCACTGCCTGTGGTTTCAATGCAAATTATTTTTTGTACTACATGTTCAGGAACTGATTACATTTCTGAGATCTTGTAGCGTTGACCCCTTTACTTTGCTTAGTTGCACTTCCTCTTGGCCCTGAAGGTGATGTCTGTCCCAAGCCCGCAGCGCTTGACACTGATGAGACCCAGCCCATGGAAGGCCAGCAGCCTTTTCCTACTGAGTCTGGTTCTTTCAGTCTGGAAATGCCTATGGATGATATTCCCCCCACACAGCCGGAGAAAGAGGAGATTAGTGATCAAGATGATGATGATGAAGATGTTTCTGCCGAGCCTGAGGTGGGGGTTGGGGTGTGGTAGACTGGAAGAGCATGATATTGTTCATGCTTATACTTCTTTTTACAGATGGAAGGATCAGCAAATTTACCATCATACACACATACACACACACACCGTGAAGATTGATATTGTTGCTTTCAGTATACATGTATACAGTATGGTAGTCCTTGCCTACATGGATCAGTTCTTTTGAGCCTCTGGGGGTGTGGTAAATATTAAAGGTGAGCTGTTCTATCCACCCTGTTTGTTGTGTGAACATCCCTGCATTTCCCTTTGGCAAACCTTTAATCTCGATCCTTTTGTAGACAATCTCCATCCTCAAGCCGGACTTGTGGTAGGAAAAGAAACCAGTGCTTACTCGGAGAGACCAGCTTATGATGAAAGAGGCCAAACAAAAGGCAAAGAAGGATGAACAAAATGAGAAGAAAAGAGCCAAAGAAGAGGCCATGAAGGCCAAAGAAGAAGAGAAGAAGAGAAAGGCAGAAGAGAGGATGATGAAAGCAGAAGCGAAGAAGAAGGCACAGGCAGAGAAGAAAAGCAAACGACAGAAGAAGGCGAAGGCTGAAGAGGAGACGAATGAAGAGAAGGCTGAAGGTGGAGAGAAAGGTCAGAAGGATACAGAAGGTGGTAGGAGAGAAAAAACCAAACAGAAGAAGAAGGCCAAAGAAGCAGAAGAAGACGAAGAATATGAGAAGGATGCAGAGGAGGAAGAGGCAGAGGTGTGTGAGAAACCTGCAGCAAAGAAGAAGGCAGAAGCGGTAGGTAAGAAGAGCAAGAAGCAGAAGGTTGAGAAGGAAGGTGAGGAGAACGTTCAGGATGAGGGAAAGAACCAAGACCAGGAGAAGCCCAAACGCAGACTTCGCAAGGCGGTGGAAAAGGAACCTGAGAAGGATGAGCCAGCACCAAAGAAGAAAGTGAACAAGCGGGCAGCTGAGAAGACCCAAGAAGGACCTGAGACAAAAAACAAGAGGGTAAAGAACACGGCGAAGTCTGATGACAATGATGATGAGGAGTCTGAAAGCAAAGCTTTGGAGGAATCAAAGGATGATGATGATATGATGAAGACACCAAAGAAAACCTTGTTTGAATCGGATGATGACTGTGATGATGGTGAAAGTGTTTGGGAACCAAGCCGCAAGAAAAAGCCTGCAGGCAAGCATGACACCAAGCAAAAGAAAATCAAGAACAAGGAGGTCCAGAAAGAAGCTTCTGGGGCTTCCAAGGAGCAGGAGTCTGAGGAGGATGCAGAGGAAAAAAATAAGACAAAGAAATCAGGCAAAGGAAAAGCAAAGGTGAAGAGCCCCAAGGGCAAGAAGGGGGAGCTGTCGCCTTTTGCAAAGAAAGAGGCAATGAAACGAAAGAAGAAGGCTGACATGTATATGCGTGAGGGGGCAGTTGAAGACCTGCAAATTCAAGGCATTCTTCTTGAATGCATGAAGAGAGTGGAGCTGATGACGGAGGAAAAGGATGTTAAGACCTACCTCACCAAGAACATGAAGGACCAGGAGGTGAACAAAAAGTTTGCCCTGAACGAGTACTGGACGCGACCAGCAGTTGGGGTGACATGCAAAGAGATTGGGAAAGCCGTGGCCTACTTTGGGAAGGTTGGCACATGCCCTTCAGGGTGGAACATCAACATAGCCTTGGTCTATGCCGGAGCTTCCTTGATGGTTTCCAAGCTGCCTTTATGATGTTAAACCTATATTCGACATACAGTAGGGGAAACTACTTTGCAATTTCCAAACCTTCCTGTGTCCAAGTCACAAAAGGTCCAAATGGTAAGAGAAATTCAGCCATTGCGAAAATTAGATTGATGAAAGCAACACCATGAAAGACTTCAGTTCCAGGCCCTCAACCACATTCATGAAATCTAAATCCATTTTGATCTAAAAAATATTACCTCCATGCAATGTCCATGTATTTGTACTTCTTCCTTCCAATACCATTTTCCTGTGATTTGTGTTCATCCCAGGCTGGCTGGTTGAGCGAGCAGCCCAAGCAGGACTTGGATGACTGGGAGAATCCGACCGGACGAGTTAAAACCCGTGAGTTTTTCATGAAGTACAATGTCAGTGTTGCTGGATCAAAATTTAAGCCCAGCTCCAACAAATGATTGGGGATCTTGCTGGTGGCTTGAAAACTGCTTGTTGCTTCCATGTGAACAATCCTCAACATTCCCAGCCCTTTGGGTTTAGGTTTTAAAAAACTGTTGATGAACCAAACCAGCCTAGAAGGGACCCGGGTTTATTGGAATCAATTTTTTGTTTCATTTGGGATGGCAACTTGGTGCAGACCAGCTTCAGTGTCTTGGGCCCTGCTGGGCTCATTATCGTAGCCCGTGTTCGATCCAGGTGCTGCCTTAGCTTGGGAAAGGGAGTTCATGTGGCAGGTGCAAACACTTTGAGCTGTGTTGCAACATTTTTCTCTTCTCAATGACTGTTTCTACCGTGGACTTCATTTGTTTAGGGAGCTCTGAGTATGGATCTGCCTATGCGATTGTGGTTGACCAACCATCAGCTTAGGGTTGGGGCCAATCCCAGGATGGCAACCATGGAAATGGGGAAAGCCTCATTGGTCTTGAAAGCGCGTGGTGAAAAAAAGGTTCTGTCAACCCTTGACCAAAGTAGGTGATTGTTGATGGTTTCTTAATGGGTCTCTGAACAGGTTCTTAGCACTTGAAAAGCCCCCAAAGTGTATCTACTTTGATTTATCTTCAACATTTGAAAGTAAACCCAGTGTTTTGAGCCATTTCTTATCTGAAAGTAAACCCCCATGTCTGGAACCACTTGTTTTCCATCCTCTCCCATGTTAGTCCCATCCAATCCAAGCCACGATTGTGGTATTCCGAGGCTGGACCAGTGGATGCCTGGGCTTCGGGGCAACAAGTGGGCAGTGAAGTTGGGCCTGATAAAGGATGACAGTCGCTCCTACTTGTTTAGGGCCCTGGTTTTGGGATGGCGATTCTGGAGGTCATAAGTTTGGAAAAAACTCTGGGAACATAATTTTACTACATTGGGATAGGATGCAACTATCAGATGCGTGGTACATATTCTCATGCTGTTGGATTCCTTTTTATGTCCATGAAGACCTATAAAGTAAATACAGGTTGAGATGAAACTGGATGTGAAAAGTGTTTTCATTGTGTTACGAATGCCTCATTAGAACACTGCCTGGTCCGATTGGAAGCCGCTGCCATCTAGGGGTGACAAGCAATTTAATGGCCATATGTTGTTTGGGAATTCAGCCTGAACTATTGCTCTGAATCTGATAAGCTAACATTCTTTCAAAATCTTTCAAATATGATAGTAAATTTTAACTTGGCATATTGGCATTTCCTTAGCACAGTTGTGCGTGTGCGTCCTGCTACTGTCGCCATCTTTGCAAACATGGCATACACTCGGGATTTTGTGGACAAGCTCTTCTGGCGCTTGAAAGCGCTGGGGGCGCCTAAGGCCCAAAGTCAAACATGTTGGATCATATTAGAGCATGGCATAACTGAAGAATGGAATCTGAATTCTTTTCACATATGATCTATATATCTTGCCTATCGTAAAGCCAATATAGCCATAGTAGTCACATATCTGAAGGTTAAGGGGACCTCACTAGCCTTGCAGGTGCTCTTGCTGGCCTTGATCCTGGCCATATCCACAGAGATCCCATCCAAGAGCTGGGAGGACATGGGTAGTGCAGTTCAGGTTCCATCCATATTTTTTCTATCTTAGACCTTTAACAAATTTATCACTGGATATCCCTAAATCATCATTGGGTCCTGGACAGGACACATCATCTACCTTCCGGTTTGTAGAGGTGTTTGCAGGGCAGGCCGAAGCCACCCGCATGTTTCGCTTTGCCCAGCTACCAGCAGCCCGTTTGGACATTGACTATATGGAAGCTGAATATGCCCGCCAAAACCCAATGGATTTACTTTCCGATGCAGGGATGGTGAGACTGGGTATCGGAAGTACCAAGTTCAGTTTGAATTTTTGTTATGTTCCAGGGGTACATTTCCCATCTTTCAGAGGAATCCTTATCAACAAAATCCACAAACAAATTCTGTAATCATATACCTGTCCTTGATTTTAGCCGGTGGCCCAGGATTGCACTGGTCGTGATGCTTCGGGGGGACTGGCTAGAGGGTTGGCTGGCACACTTTGGTCTCAAATGTAGCTCATGGACATCAGTAAATGCTGGAACAAGTTCAAGGTCTCCATGCTGTGCAATTGGTAACACTGCCTACTTAAGTGTCCGTGATGGAAATTGTCTGGGAAGCAGGATCCTCGCCAACAAATTAGTAAGTATAATCTATGGTTTTACCATTGAAATCATGATCTCAGAAATGGGACTAGTTACATTTCCTTCATTTTGAAAAAGTCATTTCATATACTTCCATTTGGGGATGATGCATATTGATAGCAGGATTGGTATATACTTATAGTGTGTTTTTGATTGCCAAGGACAATACTCCTGATGATGGTAGCAGTATGCCTCAACGCAGCAGTCCTCTTGGAACAGCCCTTTCAAAGCTACTTCGAGTTCTACCCAAGGTTCAGGGACTTCATGCAAATGCTACGGCATCATGGGGGGCCAGGGGCTGTGGCTTGATCCAATGCCCTCCTCATCACCCTTTTGTTACCGAGTTTCTGAATAAGCACCAATTCGTAGGAACATTCTACCAGTTCTTCATGACCTGATAGGGCTTCAAGGGGATGTTTGATTTTTGCATTCATTCCTCAAGAAAATCAAAACCCCATTCTTTTGACTATTCAGCCCCTGGGCATAAAATTGAATCCAAAAAGAAAACCAAATCAGGGATAAAGAGGGAACAACAACTGTGATTTATTGTTTGGTAATATTTGCTGCTGATGTTGGAAGACAAAAAAACATTGTATCATAATATAACTATATCTCTTTATTTACTTATTGTAGCCATGTCCCATATTGTTTTCTGAGGATCCAAGTCCCTGGTGATAACTATATGCCTGACGGCTCAGGTCCACAAGGTGTCCTGGTACATGTACCACTATGGCCAGGACACTCCGAAGAGGCTCTATGGGTTCTCGAACTCGAAAACGGTGGGAGAGCTGAACCAAGGCCAACTCCTTGGATGGTCCAAGAAGAAGATGGTGTTGAAACAGCAAGGGAAATCCAAGGAGTTGACTGTCAAGTATGATGATGCTAATGGCAAACGGAGGTGGAAGGGAAGTAGCTCCTTACGTGAAAGTGAGTCAGGGTCTTAGTTGATCCACAATTATATATTTTGTTTTCTAGGTGGGGTATTTGGTTCTTGCCACTATCTCCAGATTTACTGTCTTGAAATGGCTTGGGGATATTTGTCTGGAACCCTTAGTCAAAATCACACCAAATGATTATTCAAACACAATTTGCTGTTCCCTGTGATGATTGTGGTGGGGTCTGTGAAACTGGATTGAACCATACTGAGGCACTACCCACCGAAGTTTGGCCTCAAACTTGTTGAGATGTTTCACTCCATGGTGGACAACAAACTTGGTATGCCCCAGCTACCTTCGGTGGTCCCCCCAGCAGAGGAAACATTCCAGTCAATGGACTATGGCGATATGTGGGCGGAAGCCCAAATGGCTTCTGTCTGCCGTTACTTGCGGGCTGGTGTGCACCTCAATTTGCCAGAAAGCTGGCGAAATTTGATGCCTGTGAAACTGTAAAGAAAGTTTCAGGCCGACAAATGTTGCTGTTCGGCCCGATATAGCCAACAACAAAAACCAACCAGGTTTTATAATGTTTTAAACATATCAAATGACTCCCAAACAGCTCTATATCACTGGTTTGAACTTTTTTACCCATAATTCAACCGTAATGCGTAATTCCCGTAATCTTCCATAATTGTGCCCATAATTCAACCGTAATTTACCCATAATTTCACAAAAATAGAAATCTATTTTGTACCGTAATCCATATTGATGCGTAATCCATCATAATGTATCCGTAATTTGTACCGTAATTTACCCATAATTCAGTCCGTAATTTACCCATAATTTGGAGACCCGTAATTTAGCCGTAATTTACCCATAATTTCCCGTAATTTACCCATAATTAATTATGGGTAAAAAACCTGAATAGATATCTATTTTTATGATGATTTTATCATTACTTTTTGAAGGTTTTAAATGGGTCTGATAAGGAAATTTCGACTTTTGATTATGGTGTATTATGCCACATGCTCGGAATTGGCACATCAGGCCGAACTTTTGCAGCAAATTTGTGGTATAAACCTTTGCCAAATTAGATAAATTCAGGAGTGGACCTTCAATGTGGCATGCATGGATGTCCTTTGACGGTAAGCAGTGGGTGAAAACAATGATTTCAATATGAACTAGCAAGCTTGTCCAAACTATAGTCTATTTTGTTGCCAGGTGCAAGCTTCATCAATCATCTGGAAACTCCATGAATTAGATTGATTGTGCAGAACATCTTGGCTTAGGGAGGAAATTGTGTGCCCTTGGTGCTATTTCCCCGTCATGTCGATTGCTCGGGCTGGTACGGCACAATCCCTTCTTAGCAAAGCAATCTCTACGAGTGAGCTTCAGCATGGTTTGTCTCATATCTTCAATGACCTGGAACAGAACCTTCCAGACACCTTGGAACAACTCCAGGACTTTCTAAACCTATAAAGCCAAAAGTTTGGATGTATTTGGTGTAAAATCAGTGTACATGTTTTGAGATTCACATTAATATGCGTTGGCATATACATCAGTGAATCCTTTTGTTTATAGATTTGATGCTTCACCCAGGATGAGCCCATGCCTACCCCATTTTGTTTCCAGGAGCTAGATGCACATCTGGCTGATCTGGACGCTATGAAGGATTCAGTGGGGTTCCCAACGGAAATGAATCCAGGACAAAAATATTGAAAACAAATTCAAAGTTTATGCAATCATCATCACTAAAACATGCCTGGGGCAATGACTATAGGATATTCCATATCCTTCTCCCACCTTGCCAGTCGCTTGTCGTCCAAGAAACTGCTTCAGTCATGCAGTCACTCTGCTGAGGCCCAATCCTTGCAGCAGCTTGCGACTTTGCAGTCCCAGGTTGCTAGGCTGAATGGGGATATCTACTGGCTAGGATGTGAATATGTTTTATTTGAGTTCCAGGGTATTCCAATGGTTGTCATCATGTGCAAGTAGTTCCAATTAGATTTCATAAAATATAGTTAAACAAATTGCCTCATTGGATGTGACAAAGGGTGTCCATATCATGGAGTTCGCTGGCCAACATTTGTTTTTCCGAGGCTTCGCCACAGCAGGCTCTCATGGAGGCTGAGACTCTTCCAGCTACGGATTCCCAGTTGGATCATCTTCTGGGCAATGGTACCCCTTCGGATGACAGAACTACTCCAGCCCCTGCATCGCCTGACTCAACATTACCGTCTTCGGCTTCCCGATATGAGGATGCTGTTACTTCCCTTGAACTTAAAGACCCTACATTGCAGATATTGTACATATATTATATTTGATGATTGCTTGGTGTACCAAACATGCAGTGACAGAGCTTATTTTCAACAAAGGATCTTGTAGCTTGTGCTATGATATGTTCCCAGGGTTTTCATCTATTTTACACTATTCTTCTGTTTCCTCACTATCTTTGGCCCAAGGCGCTGAAGCATCGGGTGCTTGACATGCTGCAGAAAGGGTTGATCACGAATGATGTTGCCCAGATCCTCCTGGGAGCTGGGAAGACACCGGTGGCTGTGAATGGCAAGGGCAAGGGTGGTATCTCCCCTGCTTCCTCAACTCCTAGTGAATGTGGTGTTCCTGCCAAAGTTGCAAGCACTGAAACACAAGAAATTCAGGGGAATCAGAATCAGAATCAGAAGCGCTCCCATGAATCCCAGAATCAAACGGCTCCAGATGATGATGATGACTTGGATTCGCTGTTACAGAAGGCCAAGCGGGCCAAGATGGACACTTTGCTTTATGTATAATTCAGTCAGAAGTTCTTAAACATTTGAATGTAGGAATGAAACTTATTTGTTACTGGTTGGGCATCCATCATGGTTCATGTATTTATGCATCCTTTTCCCATTCTTCCCTTTGCTGATGGACTATGGGATCCCTCCCGCTGATCTATCGGTTACCATGAGCCTCTCAGGATGAACAGGCCATCAAAGCGAAACTACGTAGACTATGTGAGTTGAAGAAAGGAGGCAAATTGCAGGTGCCACAGTGGTTGCATGACCAATGGAAGGCAGCTGATCACTTGGAAATGGCTCGTGAGCTGGAAGCTTGTGGGTTTGACAAGGCCGGCAAAAGTTGTGTCACCCCAATCACCTGAATCAAAGCCAAGAATCAATTGTTGGATAGGTGTTGCAGCCAGTAGTCCAGCTCCCTCTCCAGCTTCCCATGGTGGTTTGGCATCTCCTTGCAGGATCGCTTCGTGAAGTACAAGACGAGGACTTTGACGAAGACGGATAGGACCAAAAGTGATCTTTCGTCGGGATGGTACACCAAAGAAGACATGCAGAAAATTCTCAAGTGGAATGCGACACTTTTCCAAAATATTGTTGAAAGAAAGGTGTTTGAAATAAATGTAAGCAGCACACATCTAATGAACTATGAATTATGTTTTGTTATGTTAGGAATACCAGCTATGATGAAATACTTGTGTTTGATGGGGGTCAAGCATGAAATAGATCATCACTAAGGAAGAAAATCAAGGGAGCCATTGCATGCTGTGAAGCAGACCCACGGCTTGTCAGGCTGGACCACACCATTCATGGGGGCTGGATTGGAATCATAGCTTTTGAGTTCTATCTCGGTCCATGTTCGGATATTTTTTTGGATTTTGGAAATGATTCTCATGGCTTGTTCAAGTGTTACCCTGGACCCTTGGCCTACCATACATGTTTGGCATCCAGGCGCTGCAAATATGGTGGCGATGATGAATACCATGTTGATGTCAGAGAAACTGGTTCGCACCAGCAAGAAGAGGCCAATGAAGAATCCTTTGTGGAAAAAACCCAGGAGACCTCGAACTATATCTGTCCCTCCATTTGCCAAGTAGCAAACTTCTCCTCCATCTGTTTTGGCCAGAATCGGTAAAGCCCTTGCCACCTGACAGGAGAATGGGGAAGCAGAGCTGAAGGCTGTCTCCCTCCCGGCAGTTGACCAGATGCGAGTTCGTGCAATTGCTGCGAAGACCCCAGCGGTGGCTGCTACCAGTGAGGCTAGTCAAACAATGTCAAACATAATCGGTTAGGCTGAACAACTGTAAAGCAGTGTTTCATTGATATTTTTGCAAATGCAGTGAAGGAATCTGTTTTTCCCACATTGGGCCAGGCCAACAGGGCGAAGGATGTGTTCCAAAAGTTTGTTGATTCAGTTCTTCAAAAGTCAGCGAAGATCAGATCCCTGGTGGGTGAGTTGCAGCGTGTCTATCCTGATGACTCCACTGCACAGAAGTCTCTTAGCAAAATGATATGGATCCAAATGGTTCAATAAATTTTCTGAACATTTATATGGATTTCAAAAATGGTTCTGTTGACATGGATTGACATGACAACACAACATGCTGTTTCTGGATCCAGTTTCTCATCATGAAGTTTCAACAGATTTGGTTCTCACTGAATATATATATATATATCTATTCCCAGCCTCTCCATCTTGATCCCAAGGGCTGCTTTGACATTGAACAACGACTTGGCCACCTTGGATGCTGAATACAACAAGTTGTCCGAGTGCATGGCTTCTGGGGAGCGTGATGGCCATGATAAGAAGTGGCTTTTCAGAATGGGCAAACAATCAACCAGACACAACAAGAAACAATCACAATATAATATAAGAATGTTTTTTGTTCCAAAATTGATTGTCTTCGATTTCTATTTGCTATCATATCTAGACAACCCTATCAAAATCCCAGGTGGGCTGATGAGTCAGAGAAGCTGATGAAAGCGTCGACCTTTGCGTCCCTTGGTGACTGTAACCCCTGGAGTAATTTCTAATGGTAGATTCCTTCCTAATGTTCAATGGATTGAGATATATACATATGCCCATCTACATGCGCATATGCATGACATGCCCATTATATTTGCTTGCATATATACATGAATCTTTCAGAGAAATGCTCAGGCATGCATGTATCAGAATCCTAGGTGCACCAAAGTGGCCCAAAACGAAGCCAAGATTCGGCAGGGTCCTCAAAGTTCATTGAAGACAGAATGCGTGGTGGATGATGTGTCTATAGGTGTCCTCAGATGAGAGCCCCAAACAAATTCCAGAGTTGTCTTCACAAACGTTGATCCCCCTAAAATCAGTGTGCTCGGCATCAGGAGTGCGAAGCGTCACTTCAAGAAGCCAGAGGTGAAGGAGGAACAGAAGTGATGCCATCTTTTCAGCTGATGGGCGTTCTGTCTTTGATTTGCCAGTGACAAAAACTTGGCATATACTTACTTAGAACTCAGAGGATTGTGTTTGTGAGATACAGTCCCAATTCATGGGTCAATTTGCCCAACAGTGGTGTGTCCTAAATTGGAATAAAACTCTGGGAACCCTTGACAAAATAACAATGATCATGGGAATATATGTCACATTTTTTTGACCGAAGATATGGAAACCTGACTTTATCTTCATTCAAGTTGCATACACTGCTGCCGGCACTTTGAATGGTGTAGCTTGGCCAAGAAGGCCACTTGGGGCTCTTGACGAGTGAAATCAAGTGATTGAAAAACAAGTGGAGGAAACCTGTCCACTATATACATGGCGATCTTGGGACAAACCCAACAAATCAAATGGATTCACCTGGTTTTCAATTTTTTTTTGCATGTTGATTGGAACTTGGATAGGTGTCGGTCATAGATTCAATTCACCCTCTATCTTTGCGTATTACTGATTCACATCCCTGTGCCCCCTTGAGGGTATGATTTCATACCCTCCTTGGAAACACATATCACCACACCCAATGCCAGGTGACATTGGCCATTCAGCGAAGCGCTTTGCTGCGAACATTGGCGAGGGAGCCATGGACCCAGAGACCGGCAGTGGAAGTGGCACTGGGACAAATCTTAGTCAGGCTTACTAAGAAGTCATTTCCTGATTTTGATTGGTTGGGAACATGTCTCAAACTGGTTTGCTCTTGAAGCTGCAAAGTGTCGGCTCTTGATAATGTGTGAAGCTATTGTTTTCAACTGGTATGTTTTTTGTTATGTTCGTTAAAAAAACTGGACTATAACAATCAAAACATATCCAATGTGACTTATTCAGGGTTACCTTCCTATTGAGAAACAATAGATGCAATCATATGCAACCAAAACAAATATTACATCATGCCAAATGACATAGATTGGAAGACCTGCCATGGACACTTCCGATGATGAACTGGTGGAATTGCTGAGCTGCCATCGACCAGCATCTTGTCCAAACAAATCCAAACCAGAACAATGCAGAATACCAGCTACATGGGTTTCCAAATTATTAAACCAACATTTTTGAATGTCATAATTTTATGCCAGTATGATCTGAGGCTTCTTTGGGGCCCTATGCATGGGAGTACAAGTTGCCGAAACCGGTCAAACGAATGAAGCTGATGGAAGAGGGCTACAGGAACTTAGGAAATCCCCAAAGTTTACCTCTGGAAGATAGCCCTGCTGTTGAGAATGAACTTTCGAGCTCTGTGGTGTCCAAGGGCTTGGTTTTTCAGGATTCCTACCTACAACATGATGACCTTGCAAAGCTCCCCAGGTCAATGGATATGTTTAGGAAGATCGAATTGGATCCCTACATATCTTTGAACCTTCCGTCCCCAGGAGCGACGGCCGGCCGGGTTTTACGCCATAGTGCCTCTGTGTTTGAGGATTTGCTGAAAAAAAACGAACCAATGACCTTTAAATTTGGGATTACGCATGATGCATGTGTACGATGGCATAACCGTGGCTGGGGTTACAAATACTCCAAAGACAAATTTGAGAAAATGGTGGTGGTTTATGCTGCTGCCAACCCACATGGACCGGCTTTCTTGGAAGCTGCTTTGATTGACCGTTTTTGTGGTTTCCCGGTTGCATTCCGACACTTTCCTTGCTAATGTGTCAGAAATTTTTGAGTACTGACACTGATTTGGCTATGTCCATATGTTGGCCCTGAAATGTCTGCAATTGAAAGTTCTAGTTTGCCTCCACTGGAAACTCAGGTTTGAAGGGCTGCAAGAATGAGCTTCGTGGTGGCGATTCGTTGCGAGATCATGATTCCGGGCCATATATGACATACATTGTATATATGTCATGGAAAATCCCCAGGCAAATCAGAAGCCTGGGTAGATGAACATGTAGACATGCAGCTCAATTCATTCAAATTCAGCTGGCTACCGATGCTGTTGAGATGTCATAGCTCTAGGTTGCCTGTTTTCCAGTCTGCCTTCGGCGTATCCATTTGAGATGCCAACCTGCGGATAAAAGACATGGGGGCTCACCTGTGCAGTGCCTGCTGCAGCTCTGATGATTTTGACTTGATGATGTGAAACTATCTTCCTTTGAAACATGCATGAATTTTGACAGAGTCTGAGTCTGAAACATGCAGCATTCCATGCAATGCCAAATCAACATTTGTCAGTGGAATATTGTGGTGCTGCTGAGGCCAGCTGCAAAAGCCAAATCTTGACGGCGCAAGCGGTCGCTGCTGATATGGGGCAGCAACGGGCTGCCCAAACTGGGGTCGCTAAGTGGGCGTCAATACATGTTGGAAATTCGGAAAGGGATGCTCACAGGACCATGAAAAAACAGAAGACAAAGCTGGATATCAAAATTGAATCAATTCGATGCAATGGGATAATGATTCCTTGGATTTCCCCAGAATCATGGCTTCCATGGATTGTCAAGAAGGGATTGTGGCCGATGCTTGCTGGCTGCCAGCTTCATGACTATGAAGGTGCCCGGAACAACTGGTCTAAGTTCTGGGAGATGTATCGGGCTGTGAACCCTGACTTTGAACTGTTTGGCCTTGAAGGTATAGACCTTTCTCAGACAGCTGCCTTCCTGGTTCATGGCGATGAAGGCAGAACATTGAAAAAAGGTGGCATCATGGTCACCTCTCTGCAATCTTGTTTGGGTTGTGGCTTTGATGAGAAGCGAGTTTGTGGACAGAAAGATGATTCGTCCAAGCTACGTGTGAACTTTGCTGGGCATTCCTTCACCACGAGGTTTGTTGTGAGCACCATTCCCCGAACAAGCTATGAGACTGACGCAGATGTCTTCAGTGCTGCCACAGATCACGTGGCCAAATCTTTGGATAAGTGTCTGAAGCAAGGCTATGTGGATCAGTCCAGGGGCGGCGAAAAATTCAGGATTGCTATCTTGGGCATCAAGGGGGACGCGCCTTTCTTGTCAAAGGTTGGTAATTTTTATCGATCTTACAATACAACTGCAAAGCGAGGAGAACAGAGAGGAGCGCCGAAAGGTGTATGCCCATACTGCCTGGCAGGAACAGACCTATTTCCAGCAGAAGAGATTGCGACCTGCACTCCCCAGTGGCGAACAACGGTTGGAGTAAAACCACCTTGGGTTAGTGTTCCAGCATTTGTCCGCCGACTGCCTCACAACCCATCAGACCCTGCATCATTTTTCAAAAGTGACATTTGGCATGTGGTGCATTTGGGCTTTGGGAGAAGTTGGGTTGCCAGTGTCCTCCAGCTTGTCCTTCCGTTTTTGCCACAACGGAACCTTGATGAAAAATGGTCCTACTTGACTGATGAATACTTGGCATGGTGCAAAAACAATTCGAAACAGGCACACATCAGCAAGATAACAGCTTACCTGATGAGCTATGGTGAGGCGTCTGGTGCCATGGGAAATTGGCATAAAGGAGCTCTAACGAGCAATTTTTTTAGATGGATGGTGGAATTTTTGGGAAAAGTGCCTCCAGATGGCAATGGATGGGTGAAAATGTGCCGCGAGGCCACCTACAGAATGAACTCAATGTTTGGTGTGCTTTACAGAGCGGGTGCCTTCTTGAGCCGCAATGAGGCATCATTTGTCAGTTCGCAAGGTTTGGAATTTTTGAGAACCTACGCAAAGATGGCCTCCGACATGTTCAATGACGGACGGCAATGGTTGTTTCCGTTGTATCCGAAGCTTCACATCTTCCACCATGTGGTCCTGGAGGTAATGTTTACAGCTGAGTCTTGTGGCACTTGCTGCAGCCCAATGATGTTTGGCTGCCAAATGGATGAGGACACCGTTGGCAGGACATCAAGGTTGTCCCGTCGTGTTAACATTCGCGTAGTAAGTGCCCGCACCCTTGATCGATATCTTGTTTCTGCTTACTCCGCCTTCTCAAAGGCTGGCCTTCTCGGATGAGAAAAAGCTTTTGGCGTGATCTAGGGTGGAGACTGATTGCTGAAATATGTTGACTTGAGGTGCTTTCTATCCAAGCCTTTGCCGGTCCATGTGGGCTGGTTTTACTTATGGCTGTGACACTATTGTGACATAGGTGGTTATGTTGTTTGCATGTTGAGGTCATTGCCAAATTCAACCTGACATGGATTATGGGGGTTTCAAATTTAGATAGGTTTTTTTAAAAATAGATATGTTTTTTTTTCAACCCACAAAATTGCAGGTAACGGATTCCCTAGGTATATATAATATAATATAATATCATATTACTATTATTATTAGCACATCATTTTCTCAGGACTTGGATACCCTAAGTACCAACGCGAGTATAGACACAAACTGCGACACATCACCTGCAGCGGCTCGGCCTGTCCCGTGGCGCCGCACGCAGCACCTCCACGTTGCGGAAAGTCATGGCTAGTCAGGGCTCAAAACGCTTAATTCGCATGAATTGCTATGACACTTGCGTCACTTAAACACTTAGATTTATGCAGATTTGTTCCTTTTCTTCAAGGGGTTTCAAGGTTACGTGAGGGTTTACCAGCATACCTTGCGAAGCTATTCCTTGTTGCGCAGTCCGGACACACATGAAGCTTGAAGAAATTAACCTTGCCCCAAGACCCATGATAACGGATCTTTAACCAGAAACTTGTTGGTGTCCCTGGTGGAACTTGGTGAAATCTCAATCCATGCCGCGATGTTTTCATCATCCACGTGACTGGTTCTGAAAAAAACTGTGCCCACGATCACGTTTCATGTTTCAAATGTTTCAGGACACCCTGGTCTTGGCTTAAATACAAATGTCCCGTATACCCGTGGCACCCCTAGACATGGAGGTTTAGAGCTGAAAATCATATTTTTAAGGGTGGATGTTCAATTGCCACAGGGCTGATTCCAGTTTTGGACGTCTCCCCTGCAATTCTGACGCCTCTGGATCCATGAGTCGCAAGCCGCTTAAAAGGTGCATATCATATGAGAATATGATATATATATATAATATATATATAGTTATAAAATGTTATACATCTATGTTCTTTCAACGAAAAATTGTTTGTATATACCATCAGACCCTAACTTCCCCAAAACCATTGGTATTCTCCCACTAGCAATACATTTCTTACTTGTCCTCAATGGTCTTTCCGGGGTCTGGCCTGAAGTTCTGTGTCTTTTCGGTGAATTCTGGGCTACCCTGCTGAATTGCAGAGATCCAAAAACAATCCTGGAAAAACATTGCTTTCTCCATATTTTCTTTTTGTGCATCTCTGAACCAAAATGGATTGGGCAATTTGGCGAAAAGAATATGATCGAAGAGGGATCCGGCAGAGTTTTTGGGACACCGCAATAAGAGAGCTTGATGCTCAAAGGTGCAAAATCCTAACTCTACTTGTGATGCAACGGAAAATTCGATGGTTTTAACATGTTTTAACGGACTTTTTGCGCATCATGCGCTCGGAAGCAAGTGGCACCAGCCAGGGCGTTGGGCACCGACAGCAGGGACTTTGAACTAGATAGTACGACCTGAAACAGTTCGAACTGCGGTGCAACATGCCCCATCTGTGGTATTTCATGAAAATTCCTGTATACCTACCTCATTTTCAGGTTTGCGGAATAAATGTGGGGCAAATATACCATACATATCGTACATAGAGCATATGATGCTGATAAATTTGACTACCACGATCACTCATTACAGTTTCATCATGCAATTTTCACCTTGATCTGAACGTATCACTGATTTTTCTGGACCCGCATTGCCGCCGGTGTCCACTTTTGGAAAACGACGACTTTGCGGAGGATTTCTCTGGCTGCCCAGAATCCCAGACTGCTGGACATGATCAAGGCAACAGGGGGAAGTCAAACATACCTAAGCACAGCCTGGCTAGCTCCGAAAAACTGCATCGACAGTCGCTGTTCCATGCATTCCCCTGGACCTCTTAAATTTCTCCCTGAAGTGGCTCGAAAATCAGCAGGACCCTCCCTATTGTGCCTTAAATGCGGAGTCAAAACCCGATACCAAAGCATACTAAAGGTGAACACTAAAATAGCAGAGATTTCTGGATGTTCATCCCCCTGATAGCCTATGGGAAAATCATAGGTTTTGATTCATTCCCATCTTCATCAGTTCACGACTTCGAGGGGTATACTGATTGAGAGCAAACTTAGTTACTGTAAAACTTGGTCTCATCATGTCTCATCGTTACCGATAACCCCAGTAATGGTTGTTATATTGTTATACTGCATAACTTCAGAATTAGATTACCATAGTTATTCTCACCAGTTAACCTATGGGCAGTTTCCGAGTTTCCCACACTTTGACCGCACACATCGATGGGAGTCAGCCTCAGCTGTGGTCGACCCTGGGTGCCATGGCTGGCTCCAAGTTATTGCTGGATAGCCATTTCATTCCGCAAAGTCCTTGGGGCGTTTAGCACACATTCATTGGGATATAATCCAATAGTGTGGCAAAAACCCAGCAAGAAGCCACCAATTTGAACAGAAAGAGGTTGTTGCCATTGTGTCGTTTACCACATTAGCAGTTACAAGAAGCCATCGCCCAGCTACAAGCCGTTTACACTTCTCCAGTCACCATCTTATCTAGTGGTTTCATCCCCTTAAGTGAGGAACTCATGTCCGGATATGTGGTGAAAAAAACATGTGAAAGTAAGGATTACCTTCCATTCGCATCTGTTTGCCGCTAGACGGAGAATCAAAAATGTGAGCCAACCAGTCATTAACCCCAAAAAAGATAGAAAAACGATATCCCACCAAAATAGTGATGATTTGCATGTCTGATCTTTCCTGTGTTTTTTGCGGTTGTTACCTTTGCATGTATATAATATATATAATATATGATATATGTGATTATATATATATATATGCATATCATGGCATGTAAATCAAAATTCCCACTTTATCCCGTTCTATGGGTGTGTCTGAAAATAGAATGTGTCCGATGTATGGCCCATATCCATTTGAAAACATGATGATGAACCATCAACATCTGGGAAAAATTATAGTAAACCCACATGAAACACCATGTTCAGACAAGCCCATATCCCCTTGCGGGTTTCTACCTCGGAGCTGATGTCCTGGGGTCTAGCCCCAATTCTCGGCCAGCAAAAGATGGGAAAAATATGGAAAAATCAACAGGTTGTCTAAAGCAACTCTGACTTGCGCCCAGTGCCTTGTCAGCCCCCTCCAGGCCCGCGCATGGTCTGGAAATGGCCATGGTTCAAAGTTTCAGAAGCCTCAGCAGGGAACACAGCTTCCGAAACAAACAGCCTGGTTGCTGTTTGTTTATCCCCCAAACTGAGGGAATGGATAGGAAGAATCTGCAGAATCTTCCAAACCAACAGGACCAACAAGCAGACTCCCTTGGAATTCTCCAGTCTAAACACTTCGGCTGTGGCCGCCTCTCAGGTCTTGATCGGTTCCTGGGGTCGTTTCTGAACATTCTGAACATTCTGAACCTTGCACATGTGACTTCTGCAAGAGCTGGGATTCTTTCCTTCACAGCACTGCTCCGAAAGGCCCCAAAGACGTTGTGACTTCAGTGGCAAATGAGCAGCTACCCTTCAGAAACGTGCTCACTGCGCAGCTCGTTTCATGAATTACAAATTCGCACCCAAGTGGTCAGATATCAGGCCCTCAGGCACAGCTTCACAGGAAGGGGGATATACTTTGGTTGTAGAAGATATATCTATCTGCCATTGACCCTAGCCCGGCCAGTTGTAAACCACCTTGCCAATCTTGGAAACGCCTTCCCGTTCTTCAGATTTTAGTGACCCTGTGTTGCTGGGACTTGTGCGCCAGCACCACGTCGGCCGCACCTATCACGGTCAGGGACCTCAGGAGTTCAGCAGGTGACGGTAATCTTCACATGAAGCAGAGATTGGTGGCCCTAGCATATCTGTCACATATCCTGGCATTTTTTTCGGACCAGACTGTGTAGTCTCCTGCTGATCCTCTGCACCACAGAAGTTGTCGACAGCACAGAGGGATCCTAAAAGAAATGAGGTGAAGACACATCACCTCAGAACGCTCAAGGCCCTCAAGCCCTCAAGGGCCCACGGGCTTCCATCAAAGACAACGCCAGGGAAATCGGACGGCTTCCGTGGCTGCTACTGTGTTCTATCTGGTGCTATGTACATCGCTAAGCGGCTACGGGAGAAACACCGGAACGCGAGGGAGTCTCTCCCAGCAACTTCACAGCAGACAATTCGAGCCACGCTGTAAAGTGTTTCTGGACATACCATCCGAAGATGAGCAAAACCAGCAATCTGATTGGTGGTTTCAACCGCCATTGAAAAAATATGAAAAGGATGAGTCTCAGCATATGTGTTGGTATGGGGGAACCCCGTTTGAGCGTAATAGTTTGACAGGGTGGGGAATATTCAACCCTTCCTATGAATGAAGTGAATGTCCCGTTCAATATACTGTTCAAAGGGGGTGGCCGACTTGATCCCGTATGAAGATTGAAGTTAAAATCCCATTCAATCTATTGTTCAGAGGGGGTGGCGGATTTGATCCCTTGTGAAGATTAAAAACAATATATTATATGTTAATATCCCATTCAATATACTTTTTCAGAAGGGGTTGGCGGATTTGATTCCTTTTGAAGTTAAGTTGAAGTTCATATACCATCATGCAATATACTGTTGGCATGTGGAGAAACGTCCGGGCTGGTGCGAACACGTTCAAAAAGGATGAAGAATTCTTGGTGGACACCAACAAGTTGAGCAGCGGTTCTTGGAGGAATAAAAACCAAACTTCCGGTGGTAAAGACATCTGTATGAATATGTATTTTTTACAGTAGATATAAAGCCATCAACCAGGTGGCATGCCCTCCAAATGCGTCATTTTCCGGCTTCCAGCTGGAAGTCGGTCGTTATGAAGCGTTTGACAAAAAACAAATCCATGACTTCACTGGCATGAACATGGTCCAAATCCTGTTTCAATTTTGCCAAGCCGAGGACATAACAGCACAACCACTGGATGAATGCGACCGGTTTTCAACTCTTCGTCAAGTCTTGCCTCGATAATTTGTAAGAAGCTTGCACCTCGCAACAACACTCCCGAAATAGTTTTCTTCGAAATGTCGAAGCACTGTTGATTTGCACTTGCTCAAAATCTACACCTTTTAAGACAGCATTTAGAAAATTACAAAACTGGTTCCAGTCATGTATCCGTTTGCCTGGCACGTTTGGTGGGGCGACATGGAAACATCTCATGAGGCAATACCGCGAACTGCAAGCTGTGACATCCAGTGGTGCTGTGGTGCCTTGCGTTGCTGGGACCTGTGCACCAGCAGCACGCTTGACGTGGCTGCACCTGGCATTTATGCCTGTATCAGGTGTGGCCAGGATTTCAACAGATGGTTCTTTTCCTGCTATGCGTGTGCAGCAGAGATTTGTGGCCCCAAGAAGCGGCATCATCAGTATCCATATCTACTACATATGATGACAATTTCGGGAACGGAGTCGGAGTAATCTCCTCTTGTGACCCCTGCGCCACAGAAGTTGTCAGCGGCGCAGAAGATGCGAAAATCTATTTGCGGAAGACACATCATCTCAGGATGCTTTCAAGATGCTCAAGACCCTTTGGGCTTCAGCCCACCAGACACAATGCCATGGAAATCCGAAGGCGTCCATGGTCGCAAAACGTTCCGTCTGGTCCATCCATCCTTCCCTCCCGCGCAGTAGGCACTAAGAACTTCAATTCATGTTGGACTGTGGTGTCAAACAAGCAGCCAAGGGAGACTTGTGGAAACGCCACTGGGAGATAAGCCAAACTAGCAATCTGGTTGGTGGTTGACCCAACTCCAACCAAGAAGGGTATTTACATCATCCCATCTTGTTGGGTTGAAATTCCCACAAGATAATTCAATTAAGGATGTAAAATATTAAACAACGCGAAACCTCCAACAAGCATGGGTGATATACCCTCCAAGCCTGCAATTGCCGGCAATATCACGCTGAAGGCTGTACTTGGCGCCGCTTCCAGCTGGGAGTTGTATCTGGTGTGTTTTCTGAAATGCATTGCAACACATGTCCAGCTGGAGTCATTTCTTGGCACCAATATGTCAAAAGCTCCACTCCAACAGCATATTCTACTGCAGAAGCGAATGACAAGCAGCACTCCATGTGCAGAAATCAGCAGCATTCAATTAATAATTAGCTGAAAATGTCGAATTTCCTATCAAAAGGGGCAAACCGCCGAGGCCACTACAGATGCCACTGGATAAACGTTTGCTTTTTCTAGCTGTTCTCGAGGTCTTGGTGTGAAAACTCCAGGCTTCAAAGTGTTTTCAATTGGGTTTACAAATTCTGACAATAAGCAAGGTGAAATTACGTAAGGGTTTTGGGGGCTAGTTGCGAAGTAACTGGCAAATGGGAATCCGTAGTTCGTGAAAATCATGTGCACATGCTCCTCACAAAAGGACAATGAAGTTGTAATGAATCAAAATGCAATATTTATCAATCATGTGAATTTACTAAATTCTGCTGCCAAGACGGGAAGTTCAAAGAAATATTGTTTTTTCGTTTCTTGGGATTTTCGTGTTCATTTACGTATAAACTTTTGGTGGGGCGACATGGAGATATGAGGCAATGCCGCGAATGGCCACGCTGTGTCATCCAGTGGTGCTGTGGTGCCTTGCGTTGCTGGGACCTGTGCACCAGCAGCAGGCTTGATGTGGCCGCACCTGGCACCTGGCACCGTCACGGGTATGTGTGTGTGTGCGTCAGGTGTGGCCAGGATTTCAACAGACGGTTTTCTTCATACTATGCGTGTGCAGCGGAGATTTGTCGTTTTCATCAGTATTCATATCTACTACATTCCCTGTATAGTGCCCGGCCGCGACGGAGCGGAAGATTCGAAAAATAAACCATGGCTATGAAAATTCAATGGCATATCGAATGCGATGAAAGAGTGATGTCGTAAGGTGCATCAATGAATGCGCAAATGGTTGTGGAGATGCTGATGACATGAAGCAAAAACTATGACACGAAACAATCGACTGACTGGATGAAGGAACGAAAGACTGAATGAAAGAATGAAAAAAATGAAAAGGGATAAAACTGAATGAAACAATCAATGAAACTGAATGGGGCACATTCCCGGAAAGTGAATGAATGAATGAATGAAGGAAGGAATGAAGGAAGGAACGAACGAACGAACGAATGAATCAACGAATGAATGAATGAAAGAATGCGTGGATGATTCAATGAATGAATGAATGAATGAATGAATGAATGAATGAATGAATGAATGAATGAATGAATGAATCAATGAATCAATGAATCAATGAATCAATGAATGAATGAATGAATGAATGAATGAATGAATGAATGAATGAATGAATGAATGAATGAATGAATGAATGAATGAATGAACGAATGAATGAATCAGTGAATCAGTGAATCAGTGAGTGAGTGAGTGAGTGAGTGAGTGAATGAATGAATGAATGAATGAATGAACGAATGAACGAATGAATGAATGAATGAATGAATGAATGAATGACTGAATCAGTGAATCAGTGAATCAGTGAATCAGTGAATCAGTGAATCAGTGAGTGAGTGAGTGAGTGAGTGAGTGAGTGAGTGAATGAATGAATGAATGAATGAACGAATGAAGGAATGAACGAATAAACGGATAAACAAATGAACAAATGAACGAAGCAAGAAGTGATTGATTGAATGAACGAATGATTGAATGACTGAACGAATGAAAGAAAGAAAGACAGAGAGACTGAATGACTGAATGACTGAATTACTGACTGAATGACTGAATGACTGAATGACTGAATGACTGAATGACTGACTGACTGACTAACTGACTGACTGAATGAATGAACGAATCAACGAATGAATGAATGAAAGAATGCTTGGATGATTCAATGAATGAATGCATGCATGCATGCATGAATGAATGAACGAATGAATGAATGAATGACAGAATGACTGAATGACTGAATGACTGAATGACTGACTGACTGACTGAATGAATGAATGAATCAATCACCGAATGAATGAATGAAAGAATGCGTGGATGATTCAATGAATGAATGCATGCATGCAATGAATGAATGAATGAACGAACGAATGAATAAATCAGTGAAGCAGTGAATCAGTGAATCAGTGATTCAGTGATTCAGTGATTCAGTGAATCAGTCAGTGAGTGAGTGAGTGAGTGAGTGAGTGAGTGAGTCAGTGAGTGAGTGAGTGAGTGAGTGAGTGAGTGAGTGAGTGAGTGAGTGAGTGAGTGAGTGAGTGAGTGAGTGAGTGGAGTGAATGGAGTGAGTGGAGTGAGTGGAGTGAGTGAGGTAAGTGAGGTGAGTGAGTGAGTGAGTGAGTGAGTGAGTGAGTGAGTGAGTGAGTGCGTGGGTGGGTGAGTGAGTGAGTGAGCGAGTGAGTGGATGAATGAAAGAATGAAGGAATGAACAAACCAACGAATGAAGGAATGAACGAATGAAGGAATGAACAAATGAACGAAGGAAGGAGTGAATGATTGAATGAATGAATGATTGAAGACTGACTGAATGAATGATTTAAACTATGAACGAACGAACGAACGAACGAACGAACGAGCGAGCGAGCGAGCGAGCGAGCGAGTGAGTGAGTGAGTGGGTGAGTGAATAAGTGGATGAATCGACGAATGGACAAATGGATGAATGAAAGAATGAATGAATAAACAAATGAACGAACGAAGGAACGAACGAAGGAACGAAGGAACCAACAACGAACGAACGAACGAAGGAAGGAATATGAAGGAATGCTCAGCTACTTCTTCACTGAGCTGCCTCTTATCTTAGCTACTTCTTCTCTGACTCGCTCCTGCTCTGAGCTTGTATACCACCCTCTCTTCTAATTACATCTATATAATTACTTCTTGTCGTTATTTGCCTGCTACTTCTTCACTGACTGAGGGAATTCTTCCAGCTACTTCTCAAGTCTGCCTCTTATCTCAGCTACTTCTTCTCCAACCCGCTCCTGCTCTGAGCTACACAATTCTCTCAGCTACTTCTTCTATATAGCTTCTGTAACCCAATTCTTGTCTTCACGCAGGCACTACATTGCGTTTTTGCCACCTGCGGCTAAGCCAGCTGCAATCCCGCAGAACACAAGACTGGCACTATGCTGAACAATTGCCTTTATATCACGGCTGTTACGATGCGTTTAGAAACTTCCAACTGCTTAGCAGGAGCGTCACAACACCACTGCTTTTTCGCCGCACCCGGTTGCAATCGCTAGCAGGAGCGTATAGCACCGAATCGACAAACGTGTGCGCAACATACGCAGTGCGGACTTCTCCGACGCTAGTCTGTGCATGGCAATTTGTTCAACATGTTTTTGCGAAATCGAGTTCTCGCTCCACATTCTTGTGCATTTTTTCCTGACCTTATCTTCCAAAAGTCAATATTTTCGCATGTTGAACTGCGAATCGAGCTCTTGCTACAATCTCGTACACATTTTGTCGAGCGGAAGAAAATACCCTCCCTTGGCGACCCCTGGAGCCACCATAATTAACTACCCATAAAACACAGTGATTCCATGGCTGTTTCACCTGCAAATTCGCACACTCTCGGACTGTTACTGTCGTCTCCTGTTTCCACCTACTAACTGCTGTGGCTGCCACTGTGGGTGACATGATGACAAGACTGAGGACCATGGACATCCGTCCGTAACCCGGAAGTTTGCAGACTATAGCTTCGTTTGATGATGAGAATTTCGGGGCCGGAGTAGCCTTCTCTTTCCCTGCACCACCGAAGCTATGCTAAAAATTCCTCGCGGAAGACACATCAGGGTGCTCTCAGACTCTCCGGGTGGGGCTTCGGCCCATGCAAATCCGAAAGCGTCCATCTGCTCCACTCATGCCGCACGTGGCGTGGCCATTCCCTTGCGCGCGCTGTCTACTAAGAACTTCACTTCACGTTTGAAGTCGGAATCCACTTGAGGCCAAAGCTGGAAAGCGTCAAACAGGCGGCCAAGGGAGAAACCACGCAAGGTCCACAGGTTCTCCATAGCCCAACGCAACTCAGCATGTGTGGGTCGCCGAGCCTCGCGCAGCAACTTCACACGTCGTTCCAACACTGCCAACCTTGGTGGCGTAAGTTTTTACGCTGCTAACAAGTTGTTTTCCACCACCAACCGCATAGCCAGGTATTTACAATCACCCTGCCAAAAAAATATAAATCAGATACCCTAAAACCATCTATAGGAGTAGTTACTAGTATATAATCTAAGTGTATCCATCTAGCAACACAAGTTGCAAATCATCTTCAAGGCGGAGATTGGTGACGTGGCGCTGGATGTGCCAATGGAGGATCAGCAGAACCAGCAGTTCTGGCATCTCCTCCAATCGCTGCCTTTCCTGACACCAGGGCTTGCTCAATCGGTGCATTTAAAGAGTGCTTGTCAAAGTTTTGCCATCTTTGCCAATGCCAATAATTATTGAATAAAATCAAGCAATCTTGCACAGGGAACATGATGATAAGCCATGAAATTTCGAGGTCTTCCAATAAATTTTCAAACAACCCCTATATAGAACAAACGGGCCCGGAAACAGATCACGGCATGGATCTCACTTCCGGAAGCGAAACAACAAGGACGGAAACGGCACGGCAGCATCAACGAAAAGAAAGAAACAAACACAACAAGGCTGCAGTGAAAGCCCACATGACTACCACAACCTCAACAAGTGGTGCAACAAATACCATCCCCTGACCGGTTGTTTAGTCTCCTGTCGACGTAGTTTGCGCTTCGGATGGTTGTGCTCCAAATGGCAGAACTCGCACCTGGGGCCCTTCATGCAAGTTCCATGAACCGCCCGGATGCACGGAGCTTTGCATAGGAAAGGATGCCCCAGGCTGCCACTGGAAATGCCTTCAGGCCAGTCCTGAGGCGGGCAAAATCGCTGAAAACACGCATACATACACTCATAGACACATACCACACATTACATCATTACAATACATTACGCACATTACATACACTACCTACATTACATACATTGCATACATTCCATACATTACATACATTACATACATGCCATACATTCCGTACATCCCATACACACCATACACACCATACATGCAATACAATACAATGCAATGCAATGAAATGCAATGAAATGCAATACAATACAATACAATACAGACATACTATACCATACCTACAAACATACATACATATGATATGTATATATATATGCAGATGTAAATATACGTGCGTCCATACCATACCCAAATACAGACATACAGACAGACATACATACATACACTCATACACACATACATACGTATACATACATACAACCGTGTATACATACATACATACATACATACATACATACATTGACTTTGGTCAACCGGGTCTACGCAAAATATTTGCATGCATACATACATATGTATACATACATACATCCATACATACATACGTACATACATACATTGACATTGGTCAACCTGGTCTACGCGAAATATTTGCATGCATACAAAAATACATACATACATACATACATACCATACATTACATTACATTACGTTGCATTACATTACATTATATTGCATTACATTGATTTACATTACATTGACATACCATACCATACATACATACGATACATACATACCAAAGATACATACCATGACATACCAATACCTAACAATACATACCATTACATACCATTACATACCATTAGATACACACAATACACACAATACACACAATACACACAATACACACAATACACACAATACACACAATACACAAAATACAGAAAATACATACAATACACACAATACACACAATACACACAATACATACAATATACATACAATATACATACAATACATACACAATACATACAATACATACAATACATACAATACATACAATACATAAAATACATGCAATACATACAACACATACAACGCATACAATACATACAATACATACACTACATACAATACATACAATACATACAATACAGACAATACATACATTACATACAATACATACATACATACAATACATACAATACATACAATACATGCAATACATGCAATACATACAATACAATACAATACATTACATTACATTACATACATACATACAGACATAGAGACATCCAGACATACAAACATCCAGACATAAAGACATACAGACATACATATATACAGATTTACATATATACATATATACATCAATACATATATACATCAATACATATATACATACATACATACATACATACATACATACATACATATTTTCTCATATACATCTATACATCTATACACATTGTCATATACACATATACATATATAAATATATACATATATAAATATTTACATATATACATATATACATAAATACATATATACATAATTATACATATATACATATGTATATATATACATATACATATACATGTATACTTATACACATATATTTAAATATACATATATACATGTTGACGTAAATTTACATACATATATTTAATTTTCCATACACACACACAGATCCTAGACCTTCCAAAGAAATATATATATATATATATTTTTGTTTTTGGCCACAAATGCCCGCAAAAAGCCGCAAATGCTGCAAGTAGTTCAAATTGAACCAATCGTTCAGAAACACACTCGAACAACATGAAATTCCAGGAATGAAGCTGACTTGACATATCTGGGCAGGCTAGATGGGAGTTTTGGTATGTTGACATCATGTTGACAAACAAAATGGGCCTGCTCAAAGAAATCCATTGCTGCCGAATATGACAAACAACTAGAGTGCTCAAAGAAGGCTTTGGTGCCACACTTAGTGTAAGCTTCGCTGGATGGGATACACCAGACCGCTATAGACGTTGAAACAAATTTGATTTTTGCTGAATTTGTTGAAAGATCAGAAGGCCAATGTCTTGCGCAAACAAATGTGCCCAGGAAATTCCAAAGCTTCTCTGATTTGAACAAAAATGCCAAACGTTTTCCCACAAAAAGCGCGCAAATGTCCCGCAAAAATAGGCAAATATCCGCAAAAGTGCGCAAATGAGGATTTCTGAACTGCTGCAATCCATGAATGTGTCAAATCGCAGCTTGTGGGAATGAACACTGTTATTTCTGAAAAACATGCATGCATGAATCTTTGGTGGCTCCAATCACCAACACAAACTCTGAAAATTTGGGGATGCAAAATGTTTATCACCAGCAATTCAAATGGCTGAATTGTCAGGGGCCTATTGCGGCAACATATTTGTTCCACTCGTACCACATCAAAGGTGGCAGTCAGAACTGCTGTAAGGAGTTCACCTTTTGTTGAAAACGTCTGCGCTTTGGAAGGTCCAGGATACCCATATCCATGTCCATATACATATTCATATCCATATACATGATCATATCCATATCTGTACACATATACATATCACATATACACCCTGGAAGTCCAATGTTGATGTTTACCTACGGATTTCATTGATGTCAAGGTTTGCCCATGCATTTGTGTAATGTCGATGTTTACTCATCAATGTCGATGTTTACCCTTGAGACATGTGGTGCAACAAATTTATCAAACTTTTGTTCTGCTGCCGGATTTTATCTTGGACATGCTTCATTAGTCAAACTCATGCGATATCACTTTAAATCACATGTGACAACAAAAAGGCCAGCCAAGGAATTTGGATGCTGTTGGCATCCGGATAACCAGAGAAAACAACACTGTATTCTAGGGGTTGCATGGGGTGGTTTTTTTCCTCCGGTAAACATTGCATTTCACCGGATAAACACCGCATTTCGGGTAAAGATCGCCATTCACGCAAACTTCACGGGTACTTCGCGCTAATTTCAGGCTAAGGCTAAGGATTTTTGGTGTTTGTCTGGTCCTAAATGTCCAAAGCCGTTTAAGGCCCGAAACATAAAACATATACAAATACTTGCGAGTATGGTTCCTTGATTTGTTCTCCGTCCAGAATTTCAATACTTCTAGGATCTTGTACGTTTCAAATTCAGTTCCGAAGCCCCTACACATTGGGAAATTGGAATGATGCACATATGTATGATGATTTGTCACATCCAAGGTCCATTGATTTCTTCACAGATGTTGAACATCAACATTGAGAATGTCGATGTTTAACCAACCCAAACATCAACATTGTCTGTTGAGAAGGTAAACTTCAACATTGACGCCCACGGTACATATATATATGTGTGTGTATACACATATACATATTGATATACACATATACATATTGATATACATATATACGAATGTGTACACATATACATATATACTATATACATAAAATATTTGCATACTTTTTAATTCTGCATTTACATGTACGTATACATATATAATTATATACATACAGAACACACAATATATGTACAATGCGTATATGTACATATATAATCATAAATATATACATAAAATTATCGAAGGAAGTTTAGAAGTCAAACTTCCCACAATATGGACAGATGAAAAGCAGAGATGGGAAGAGTCAGAGAGACAAGAAGAGTAGAAGAGAGAAGATCAGAGAAGAGAAAGACTCATAAGAACGAAGATGCAGGTGCGCGAAAAGGTAGGAAAGTCGTGAAACACTGTGTTTTTTCCAATGATTTGTGGCTCCGGAGGGTCGAAAAGTAGGCTTGCAAAAGCGGCGGGTGCGGAGCCATCTGGCCAGATGAGAAATGAAACATTGCACGCCGTTGTGGCGCGAATCACATTTGCAAGTGAAAAAGCTAAAAACACCTCATGTTCAGACCACTGTTGGAAGTTGAGATGTCCAAAAATTGCACGCTGTTATGTTCATCAGAGATGTTAGGAGGTCCGGGCGCTGATTTTCTGAGAGGGGTTGCATTTTGGAGCATCAGATCTTCAGGTTTGCTGAGATGATTTTGCGTGACAGGTGCAGCACTTCGTATGACCTGGCATCACTTTTTCGTGGTAGGCGCAGTAGTTTAGAGAGGTGGACTGGAAAAATCGCAAAACGCATTGGTACGAGGCCGTCAGCTCTGCACTCAACTTTCCATTTTTGAAGGAAGTCTCGCAGAATTGCTTCGTTTTTGATGTTGTCAACTTCGAAACATGAGGAAGTCTTGCAGAATTGTTTCGTTTTTGATGTTGTCAAGTTCAAAAATTGAGGAAGTCTCGCAGAATTGCTGCGTTTTTGATGTTGTCAAGTCAAGTTCAAAAACTGAGGAAGTCTCGCAGACTAGCTTCGTTTTCAAGCTTGCAGATAGACAGATAGATACACAGACAAACAGAGAGAGAGAGAGAGATAGGATGGATGGATGGATGGATGGATGGATGGATGGATTGATTATATAGATTAGATAGATTAGATAGGTTAGATAGATTAGATAGATTAGATAGATTAGATAGATTAGATAGATTAGATAGATTAGATAGATTAGATAGATTGGATAGATTAGATAAATTGGATAGATTAGATAGATTGGATAGATTGGATAGATTGGATAGATGAGATAGATTAGATAGATTGGATAGATTGGATAGATGAGATAGATTAGATAGATTAGATAGATTAGATAGATTAGATAGATTAGATAGATTGGATAGATTAGATAGATTAGATCGATTAGATAGATTAGATAGATTAGATAGATTAGATAGATTAGATAGATTAGATAGATTAGATAGATTAGATAGATCGGATAAATTGGATAGATTGGATAGATTGGATAAATTCGATAGATTAGATAGATTAGATAGATTAGATAGATTAGATAGATTAGATAGATTAGATAGATTAGATAGATTAGATAGAGTAGATAGAGTAGATCCATTAGGTAGATTAGATGGATTAGATAGATTAGATAGATTAGATAGATTAGATAGATTAGATAGATAAGAAAGTAGGATAGATAAGATAGATTAGATAGATTA